CGCTTCGACTCAGCAAAGTCACGCTGTGACCGGACTGTTGTGACCCGGCAGATGGCTCTTACACCACTAACCCAGGTCAATACATAGGGCATGAAGCAGATATTAGAGGTTGGGTTTTGGGAGGCTCCGTGGAAAAAAAACGAACTTGTGGAAGCTCTGCAGGATTTCCAAGAAGCAACAGATTGATGAGCTGAAAGACTTTTGAAGGAACTTCACCTTGACTCTTATTTGACTCCTCCTGGACAGTGCCATCCCTTTGCCCTGCCTAAAAACAGACCTTGGATGTGTAGCGTGACTGCTGTGCCAGTGGGACAATGCTTATTTTACTAGTGATGCCTGTGACCGAGTGATACAACGACCCCTAGTGGCCTTTGTTCTTTACAACGACAGGTTTTTGCACATGTGGGAGCAGCCAAGCTCCTGACCTCCAACAGTATTCTGATATTGAAATGTTCTTCTTCTTGTCCTGTGACGCGTGTGTAGCTAAGAAATAACTTTTCTGGTTATAGAAGAGTGATGAAAACAGAAAGAGCAGGTGGAAGAGAAGGAGAGATGGACTGAGTTTCCAGTCCTGTTGCCTTTATTGATGACTGAATGGACCTCTGACAGTGATCTGAATGATATTGATGAACTGATTGACAGGAGCTGTGATGTCATTATTTACCCCACCATGTCTGCCCTGTGCACAGTGTGCACAGTGAATTCAGCCCCTCTCATATTGTGAGCTGTGTGAAGAATGCTGTGTTTTTTGCGCTCGTTCTGATTGGTTCCAGCACTTGGTTTTAACAAGTCCTCCACAAATGTTGAAATGGCCTTACCGGCCCTGTCTTCAGGGCGTAGAGATGCAATTTGTGCTGCTGTACTCACTTGTGCTTGTTTGTAAAAAGAAGAACAGGTGTACAGGAGAGGAAATGAAGGAAGTGTGGCACTGAAATGGAAAGCACCGTGCACATTGTCTCAAAGTGATGCATACTCGTACCTCTCTGCCCTTCATTATATGAACTCCAGAGTTGCACTCGTCAGTTGGTCCGAGAGGCCGATGGGATGTGAATACAGAACAATGAGTGGTTTTGTCCCTCTTCACAAAATGAATTACTATTTTCTTGTATTTTTTATATGTTTTTATAACACACTTCAGACCAGAATAGAGAGCCAGATTGGAGACATGGAGGATTTGAAATGTTGTTGAATTCATAAAGTGTCATGTTTCAGCCAGTGCTAATTTTTACTGTGATGCATTTGGAAATTATTATTAGGGACTCTTCAGCTCATTATACTCACAGAAGCCTCTTCATGCAGTAGAAACCATCCATTTGTCTCATGGTCACACTCCTTATTTCCAGCACCACATCACCAACACTTCATCAGCCGTTCACATAACAGTTACACATGTTCAGATTATGGCTCGCAGTTTGTACAACGTCACTCTGCTCTGCCATGATTTCGTGTTTGTGCAACCAGTTCATGCTCCTCGGTTGATATCACAAAGAGCTGTTTCGCTGTCGGGACGATCGTTGACGCAGCACTTCATTTTCTAACATTCACCCTCAGTTCCTGTGTTCTTCACTGCCAAAGACTTTTCTTCTACCTGAATAAATAAATTATTATCATTATTATAATGATTGTCCTGTGTCTTTCTTAGGATCCCCATTAGCACCAGCATAAGCATTAGCTATTCTTCCTGTCCACCACAATACATAAACACAACAACCAAACCAACATAAACAAATCCAACAAAACAGCTTGTCTCATTAAATTGTTCAAGTACATACAGAAGAAAATATATTTATTTTATTAGATATTAAGCAAAACACAATATATTAGATAATTCATAAGTATTTGAAAAATCATAACACACTTCCTTTTTTCCTTCACACAGTTAAGGCCTCTGTCAGTTGATCCTTGTATCCTGATGAACAACATGCTCAGTCCTGTCAGGATTGACATTGTCGATAAAAGGGCCAGTGGCAGTTCTGGACGGAGCCCAAGTCATTTTGCTGAGTGGAAGACATTTCTGCTGACTTAAGTGCAGCAGTCATGACCTTCCTTTCCTGAAGTGAAGTTTGCTGCGCTAGTCAAACTTGGAATGGATTGAAAACAAAAGGATTTTAAGTTTATTCTATACAATTTGGGATTCAGGCTCAAATTCTGAGGTATGCGGTTTTTCTGTGTGTTGCATGTTCACTCCATGTTTGCATGGGATTTATCCGGCTTCCTCCCACAGTCCAAAGACATGCAGGGTTGGGTTAACGGGACACTCTACATTGACCATAAGTGTGAAAGGTTGTTTGTCTCTGTGTGTTGTCCCAGCTTGTGACCTGTCCAAGGTGTATCTGCCTCTCGCCCAATGTCAGCTGGGATCGGCTCCAGCTCCCCCTGTGAATCTCGTAGAGGCGGTACAGATGATGAATAGATGGATGGTTGGATGAAGGACAGACCAATGTATGAATATGGATGGATGGATATTTATATAGATTTTATATATGGTCCATATAAAATATTTTTAACTGACTTCTTTAGGCCTCAGATGTTTTATTTGGATATAAGTTGTTGCCGTGACAACACTGGAGCCTCCCTGCATTATTCATTATGGGGAAAGAATTTCTCTATTTTCAAATACCAGTATCTTTGACTGAGCTCTTTAGGTCTTTAATCCATTTTTTTTTTTTTACACGTTTTAGTTTTATCGATTTTACTGATATTGGGTAGATATAAAAGTTGAGACTGGCAGCTGTGGCTGAGGGGTAGAGTGATCGTACTCCAACCAATCCCCAGTCTTCCCTATCTGCCAAAGTGGCCTCGGGCAAGATGCTGAACGATCCCAAATTGCCCCTCTATTAGATTATATCTAATAGATTATATCTGTAAAGTGGTCATCAAGACTCGAAAACCGCTATATAAATACAAACCATTTACCATTTAACTGAAGCACTGACGGTGTATTGAGCTGGAACTGAGCTCCATCTACTTTGTGGTTGAATGTGCTGTAAGATGGAGTGACGATGAGCACACTTCAACAGGTGGCTGCTCTGCATTAAGTGCTTACTTGAGGGCAACAAAAGGCTTTTACTCCAGTGTGAGTGCATATTTGACAAGCTGGTTCATCACAGTGAGCCTCGTGTTACAGCCGTGCAGGCACAGATGGATAGTCTCTCCCCACAGGGACAAATGAACAGCTACATATAATAATGATGAGGCAAATGATGGTTCAATTTATACAGTATAATCCCAGTCTGATGATTAATAGCTACATAAAGAAGAGAACATGTAATTTTGTTAGAGATATGCACAGAGCTAAAGATTCCCTTACAAGTAAAGATAAACAAAAGCAAGTAATAAACTCAGGCATTCTGGTTGTCCTTAAATAAATAATGCAACACAACACTGAAGTAGGGAAATAGGAAATTGGGTTTTGCTTAAAGCTACATTGGTTTGTTGCCACATCATACTTTGTGACATCTGCCTATTCTGCACTATTCTCATATCATCCGTTTTTATAAATAAGCACAACAGTCTTTAGAGCATATCTGCAGGTCTTTGAAATTTAGGACACCAGTCGACTCAAAGTTGACAGTTTGTTTCCTCTCCTGGAGCCTTGTTTCTTCCCTGCTGAGGTTAAACAAGGTCACATGAGCAACTGATAGAAATGTGTAGCATGTATGCAAGTTATTTATAACACATGTTTCTCTAATACTCAAACTGATATACGGCATCTTGAGTAGGGTTGAGCAGCGAGGTTCAACCAGGGGCCAACACTGTTAACATCATGCAGTGGGAGTACCACCATTTACCAGGTACAGTGGAAGAGATATTAGATTTTTTTGTCTCATATTGATTTATTTAAGAATGAACTTAATTAAGGAAACAAGTGCCTTAAGGATTAAATCTGGGAGCAGACTTGTTGTTATTATGACAATAATAACAGTGACATTCATAGATGGTTGGGTAATTATTGATAGCAATAATAATAATAATAAATTGTTATTGTTATATTATTATTATATGCAAATTTCTATTCTTTGTTTCACTCGATGAATATAGAGAATAGGCAATATTACTTGCATAAAGGTCTAATTTACTCAAGGCTTGTGTGTATTCATATTTATTTTTATTTGTAATTTTGTTCATTAAAGAAATATGAACATACAAACAGATCCACAGTATATTTACATTTATCTCTATAGGACATTTGAGAAAAGTCATATGACGTTTATATGTAGACATGAGAGAGAAAAGTTCCAGTTCCTAAATATTTGTGCAGGAGGGCCAGATCAGGCCCAGGGGCCACTTTTTGACCACCATATGTCTACAGGTTTACCACACCACCACATTCATAAACAGTTCTCAACTTCACAAGTCTCAAGTCTTCCGTTGTCGAGAGCGAGCACAGCAAATTCCCTCTGATGCATGTCAAGATGAAAGGGTTTGTGTGCTCAGGGCAGTGTGAAAGTCAGATCATGAGTGTGTGTGGGCGGTGCTTGTGCTTGACGCAGCCGGTCAGGCTGCACTGATTTCGCCTTTAGACAGAGGGATGCAGCTGCTTTTAATCCGTAAGAGCATTGGAGTGGGGCACCAGATTGTTTATGTAGTCCATTGAAAAAGAGCTGGCACAAATGTGTGTGTTGAGGGGGGAGTAGGACGAGTGCAGCTTACAATCCATCTGTCCCTGTTTTCACACAACTCAACATGGTGGTGGCAGACAGTGGGGGGGGGGACAGACCTGAGTCCTGTAGATTCCTTTGTTGGGTCAGATGACAACAAAAACATCTCAACACACAGCACATTAGAAAATGAAAAACTCTTTTACTCCACTTCTTGGATCTGTCTCATGCACTCCTGTGAGGCCTTTAGACGCGTCTTCATTCTCTGAACACAAGGACTGAGATGGGTGAAATATTAAAGACTGATAATCATATTGATTTCTGGAAGAAAAAAGCACATCTTAACTGTAAAATAACACCTGTAAGGAGGCAATATCTTCAAAAAAGAGTAGAGTCATATTAATTATTAATCTGTGGTTACGTTTTATTAGCTTGTTCTTTTCAATTCTTGGAAAAAAGACGGAATCTTTAAAAACTGAAAATAAGTCAGTAACAGTGGATACCAACATGTGTTACACCAGAGATCCAAACATTTGAATAAGACAGTTCTCTTTTTATACGAAAGCTTCTCATGTGTTCATGAAGCTGTCATTGTTCTTTCATCATCCAGACAGAACAACACCAACCTTAATGTGTGCTATTTAACTTCTGTTCATATTTGAGACCAGACATGATATGACGATAGAACAGAATTATTCAGTACTATGACACACTTGCATTTAATTTGTATCCAAATGTGAAGTGGAAAAACAATCAGATTACATATAAAGATAAATAAAGAGTTAGCAAAAGAGCTTGAACTTGAACATTATTGTCTTTGGTTACAAAGATACAAACATGAATAGCAGGTACACTTGGTAAAACACAAACAAAGGTCAGACTTTGGTTCATACATTGACAAAAAAAAAAAGCCTGAAAATCCTGACTCGTCTTTGAAAACAATCAAACAGAACAGCCGTAATCTCGGCTTGCAGCTACAAAGTTTCACAATGCAACACTCAAATATATCAGTTTGGTTAAAGGTAAAACTGCTTTTGCACTTATTTCTGTTAGTGAGAGCAATGGGGGGCATAAATGTGAAGGATGATGATTCATCTTTAGCGTCAACCCTGAATTAGTTCAACAGGGCAGTCAGCTGAACAAAAACCTTATACCTGTTCCCTTTAAATACAAAATCGATCAGTAATATTTCCACAAATAATCAGCACATGACGAGTGATAAAGCGAAATATAACATGTTTGAGACAGTTTTCTACACCAGCAGTTGGAAAAGGTAGTGTGCCACTTTTGGATTTAATTCTGTTTAATGAAATCAGTCCCGTAAATCGAAGAGGAAATACCTGTTCTACAATTTCCTAGTCTATTTGCAGTTTGGTTTACAATGCAGTGCTGGAAAAGAAATGCTGTTGCTGAATTATATATGACAAAGAGCCAGACACTGTAAACTTGTCAAATTTCAGTGAACTCTCATAACAATTATAGATAAGTCCAACCTATAAAATACTTGATTCCAAAGTGAAGTTTTCAGATATTTCTTAATTGACAAAAATTCCCCCTCGACATGGAGAGCAAATGACTAAGATGGCCGTCAGTCAAGTTTATATAAACTGTGACCTGTGTAATTTTAGAGTTGCTTCTACGTTCCAGACACTGAAGAAACAGGAACTCAGCTGACATAAAGTAAGACTAATACAAGAAAAGCACTAACAGCCTCTCAGATGTTCCACTAAACCAAAGAGCTGGAGGTAATTTCAGTCGTTCTTGAACACATCCAATCTCGCCCCATCACTGAGATACAACTGTGTTCTAAGCACAGACTGATGATAGTGAGAATCCACATGAGCAACAGATAAGGCTTTAACGGCTCACCATACTCAAGGTTTGGGAAATTTAGCTGACTATATCTAAAACAAACAAAAACAACACAAATGGTCATACAGTGAAAAACAAACTCATCTCAATGTAGTTTTCATTTTCCCTAGGAGTAAGGACACATCACCAATTGTGTCCACTTCAAATCTACATAAATGACAGGGACAGGATATTAAACACACTTTTCAATGTGATGAAGTGAAATAGAATAAAAACAATTAGTAGAACAAATGTGCAAATCATCCCATTTGAAACATTCTTTACTGGATGGCTTTTCTATCGCACTGCATTAAGTTTACAGATGCTCCTTTTCCCATGTTAAGTCCGGTGTGCCTCAGGTGTGAATTTTAAATCCAATTTTGTTCTCTTACAGATATAAGCTAGTCATGTTTGATCACTTCAGAAATATTTCAAATGCTAGATCCACTTTAAATTCAAGAGATGCAGTCTATAGACAAAAAACCCAAAACAAATTCGAAACGACAACAGACTGTTTCAGACTGTCCTGCATCTAATAGGAACTAAGAGGATCAATCACATTACACCTATTTGAGCCTCTTCACACTGGCTCCCCATTGTTTTAGGATTGATCCTACTTATATTTTAGTCCTTTCAATCCCGTATGAAGCCTTGCTCAGGAAGAGGTCTTCTAACTGTTCCTGAGTACAGGACAGGAGAAACAGATTTTATACTCAGAGCCCTGAAGCTCTGGAACGACCTGCCCAAGGAAATGTTGAAGACTGTCTGAGTCTTCGTCATCTTTAAAACATACTTCTCCTGGAGAACTTTTTTTTTTTACTGTGACTGTTTTTTAACTCACTTCAAAATCACTAACAAAATCACTAACTTTTTATTTTACTCTTTTTTGTAAAGCACCTTGTAACTGTGCTTTTAAAAGGTACTTTCCACATATATTATTACTATGTATTAGTAATCACTAATAAAAACTGGTGGCTCAATGTAGTGATCATAGTTAAAAACCTGTTTGCTGTTCTAATGTGATTCTAAGAGATTAGAAAACAAAAATATTCCCCAGCACACTTCAGGTCATGACATGTATCCACTTGTGTTAATAGTGGAGATTAAAGTTACTCATAAACTGCACACGTAGGCTGACACTTCCCATGTGGACCACACTGTAACTGAACTACATGATTATTTATCAACCTGTTTATTTTTTAATCTAATTTCAACAAAAGTCATTTTCCTGTGACGTCATCAATTTTATTGCACAGTATATGAATATATCTGCTGCTACCAAACAAATGGCAGCTTTACTTTCAAGTTTCTGCTAAAAAAAACAGTCTAAATGCTATTTGAGTCTTGAGGCAAACTGTGCCTTAAAAACAGAATGTGAAACATTACATCCTCAGGTGCCATAGTAGTTGAGAGATGCTTAGGATGACGCTCGTAAATGTTTCCATCCAGGACAAAGTAGGAAAAAGGGTAAAGAAGTTGGTGACGGTCAGACGTGTTGTATCGCCAACTCCTGTCCTATGAAGCGGCGTAGGCGCTCCAGATACTGGCTGTATAATTCAATGTCATTGTGTCCTGCTCCCTCTACCCAAAGAGGCTCCACTGCCTTGGGGCAGCGCTCGAACAGAGCCAGGCCGTGGGAGAAGTCGATCACCTCATCCTCTGTCCCGTGGATGATGAGCACTGGAGACGAGATCTTGGACACTTTCTCAATGCTGAAAGGAGAAATAAGGAAAAGAAATCTTTAGAGTCTGCACAAGCCAGTTCAATATTGATGTTGAACCGGACTCACATAGCTCTGAGTCTGTGCATCAAGTCATAAAATGTGACATCAATAATCATAGTCATTGAAATATATTATAAAATAGATTAAAGAAATATATTTCATATTTTGTATATATTTTGTTAGTTTTATTCAGCAACAGCAGAGCCATATGTATCAGTGCAGTGCAGGGTTTTATTGCCTCTGTGCTTATAAATGATCATGTGCGCCGACCCAACCATCTATAGCACAGATTTGAAAACAGATTGGATGAATAAAATAAATAAAACATAAATATTTTGACTTCACAAATTTTGTTTATAGATTTTATAAGTAGAAATGAACATATTTTTGGAAAGATTACATAAAAACAAGAGCTGGCTTTTCAAAATCAAAGCAGGGGTCAAACACACATTCAGCAAATCTAATAATGAGCCATGCCATGTAATATAACCATTTTTTAAAGGACAAAATCTGAGTGACACACAGAGAAAGGCAGGATGCCAACTGCCCTCTCTCAATTTGAACAGACTTGAACAACAGACAAACGCTGGAGCCTTTCTCAGTTCACTGCACACACACATTGGGGCATTCCCTGGTTTCCTACCACCTCTACTCCTCACCCACTTGTTCCGTCTGGACTCTGCGTTAAGGCTGACGTTGGCTGCGACTGACCTTCGTCAGACTCAGCCACTAAAACTAAACTGACAAGGAGAGCAGGAAGGATAGAGCCTTGCTAATGATAGCACCACTCTGAGTCGTTATTGTCTGGCCAAGAGAATTGTTTTGTGTCCAAGGATTAAAAATAAAATGTTACAGCACATAACAGGTAACACTCACATTACAAGTCACTCTCAGAGTGGAGCACATAAGTGAACATGAAGTGTGTAAAAGAAGCTCTGAAGGATACAGACCCAAAAAGAACTGACACTTAACACCACCCACCTTTAATCTGTTATAGGACCAGATCAGCAATCACCATATAATAAACGTTGTGTGCAGTAGTAAAGGAAGTTGATTACTTCAGTCAAGGAAGACATGTTTTCTCTATCTGTCTATTTGTGGGCTGGTTTGTTTGTCAGCAGGAATACACAAAAACTACAGAGTGGATTTCTATGAAACTTGATAGAAGAATGGAACATGAGCCAAGAAAAGAACCAATCAAATTGTACTGAATGACATTCTAGTTATTTTAAGTAAAGACTGTAACAACACAGTTCTTCTTAGTAACTGTTTGATTATTAATATGTGATAGGGTATAACTTTGGTCCCCAACTTTACAAGAGTAATGTACTTCTACTAGACATGACACTTTTGAATATTATTATTATATATTATTATTTTGAATATTGGATCTTTACGGCCAATGACTTATTTAGTGCAATATATTATTACACTGTGCACCAATACAAGAATTCAAAGAAACAGAATATCAAAACAATTTAATATAGGAAAGTGTCAATCATTTTATATTTGAGGCCGACAAGGAGGCTTGTTGAAAAACAACATTGTGCAGACTTACTTGGGGAAAGCGTCGAAGCAGTAGGTTTTCTTTGTGTCAGGAAAGGCCACTCTCATGCCAGATGTTAGAGGTGAGTGAAGAACAACGGCGGCACACTCATAGCGCGACGCCAGGTCTACAGTAGGAACTGTCCCAATGCTTTGTCCATACAGGATTATATTCTCTGGGCTTATACCATACCTAGTTAAATCCAAAGAGACAGAGAACACCTCAAAAATGGGCCAACAAATAAAACCTTAAAGGGATAGTTCACCGAAAAACGAAAATGTTCTTACTACACACTACTAGAGGGGTGGGTGAAGTGTTTGAGTCCACAAAACACTTTTGGAGTCTCAAGAGTAAACAGCGTTGCAGCCAAATACAATACAATTGAAGTAACTGGGACCCCTTCTTGGGACCCCCCTCAAAAGAGCCTTTAAGCCTTAATGTCCTCTGATATCTTCCTCGAAGCCATGTTCCCGACGCGCACACACTTACATACAGTTTTATTATGTATGAAGAAGGGGTCACCTTGGCTACAACACTGTTTGCCCCTGAGACTTCTAAAGTGTTTTGTGGACTCAAACACTTCACCCACCCCTCCATCACCATAGTGGTGAGTAGATCATGAGTGCATTTTTATAAGTATCCCTTTAATTAGCAAAAATATACAGTGGCATAATCTAAAAATATTTCATTTTATTGACAGTTATACCTAAACATAAAAGCACCTCTATCAACTCTTAGTTAGTGATCTTTAGTGTAACTGTATGTCCTCTCAGGGTTAAAGCCACATTAAAGTAGTCTACTAATGAGACACGTTATCACACCACAACATCCTTAAGAGACACGTCTCTCCCAGTCTCCCGTCTCCTCCTCATCCATCCATCTCACTCTTTTAATTCCCCTGGCATCTGTCACTGCTTTGATCTCCCTTCTTCATCTCAGCTCTGTCCTAATCACAACTACTGCTGCCTTCATTCACCTCTTCTTCACACCTTAATCTTTATTTCACCCTCCCTCTTCTGTCTCCTTTCATTTTTCACTCCTTTTTCTTCTCAGAAACAATCCATCCACATTTTGAACATGGTGTGATTCACACCTAATCTAAACAACATGCCCTTTCTTGGCAGAGGAAGATGAAGTCTAATAAATCATTCCCCTGAAGGACATATATGGGCCAATAATATCATTACTTACCGTGTGCGCAGGGCTTGCCAGGCAGCGTCAATGTCTGCATAGAGGTTCTTCTCAGAGGGTTTGCCAGTGCTGACTCCATAGCCGGAGTAGTCATAGGAAAAGATGTTGCAGTTGATGCGAGTGCCAAGGCCGATGTAGAAGCTGCTCATCTGTCCAAGGTCGACTGCATTACCATGAGAGAAAAGCACTGTAAACCTAAAAGGAGAAACATGGTCAATATATGGTCCAGTGGAAATAGTTAGACACAAATTCAAGGACATTCTCTGTATTTCAAGCATGTCAGTTTTACTAGGAAATATAGCATATAAACTAGACAAATGTATCATATTGGCAATGTCTTCACTTCATTTGCTGCTTAATATGCAAATCATATCATATTAACATTCTTGGCTTTGATCAAAACTGGTATGAATCATATTCTGTCTATAAAGATGGACAATGCGTCACCACTTCCACCCAATATCTGGAAATGAGGCTAAAATTTTCTGCCACCACTGTGCATTTGGAGCCAGAGTCTGTGCAGTACTGATCAGGGATGAAGCCACATCATGAAGATGTTTCCCCCCCGTTTTTATAGCATCAAATAACAAAGAATGTGCACTTAAACAAACACCAGTGTGATAAGAGCTACTTTTAATGACAGAAACTGTCTTTAAGAAATAGTTATTTGATGTGTACTTTACTTTGGTCCATGTCCCATCCACTCACATGGAGGAGGCTGGGTTTAAGACCTATACTGCTGCCAGCCACCAGGTGGTAATTGAGACGCATTGGCTTCACTTTTGGGGAGCTATCATGCCATTCATCTTTAAATACGGTCTATTGTACAAACATTGAACATACTACTGGACTTTTGAAGCAGAATATAATATACATTCACAGATCTGAAGCTGGTAACCAAGTTGAATAAACAAATAACAAAACCATAAACAAGTTGTTGTCAGAATAAACATAACTCAGTTACTGAGATTCCACACCAACACGTCTTTGTCTATATTGTGCTGCTCCCTGGAGGATTGGTTTACCACAACGGACTCACGTAAATCCTCTCTGACTTCTAGACATTTTGATCAACCTGAGAAGCAGCATATCCACTATAAATGCAGGGTATTCTAGCCGTGGCCTTTCATTCATGAATGCATGTTGTGCTCTCTAGAGAAACCTGATCCGTTTTCTGCACACTGACTGTTTTGAGATCCTCCCTCAGTGGTTTTGTTTTTGAACACACACACATGGCCAGTGGCTTCACTCTTGGCCTTTCCATTGAGAATGTGGCCCAACAATGATTCTGCCATATCAGGTTGAGTTTGGATTCATTTTTGTGTAATATGAGATAGACACTAACCCATATGCAGACTGTAACATAAGCCTATCTATTTCTTTTTAATCTATTTGGTAAATTAATCAGAGGCTGCATAGGGTAGCAGGATGGGTGTCAAACAGACTTCAAATACTTAGTATGACAATGCAAGTTAATCTTGCAAAAAAGTGTTTCCTTTCTCAGGCCAAATGATATGTACCCTTTTCTTAAAAACTATTTACCAATCACTGACAGTAAAGTCAGTGACAAACCTACAGGATGGAATCCCTGATAGCTGAACATGTTATGTCTCTGACTCACTGAAAACTGATATCGTTATAATGAACCAGAATCCCAGAGCACACGGGAAAGTCAACATTCAAGTTCCTACAAATCACAAGATAAAAAAAGAAAAGAAATTGAATAAACTGTTAAAATGAGCAGCAGAGATGCACCAGCCTACAGAGAGAAAATCTTTGAGTCAGCTGAGTCAACAGGGAAGTACAGCAACAGGTCAAGTAAAGGAAGTAGACATGGATGTGTGTGTGAGAAGATTGACAAGAGAAGAGGGTGTGGAATCACTCCAGAGGAAGTGTGACATGGTTATAAAATGAATGAGAAAGGTCGAGCAAGCCGAGGTCGACACAGTATAACACATACACACATAAAGAACTAATAAATCACCTAGTGACGAGGAAGGTAAACCTTTCAGACTCCCTACCTGGCATTAGGGACACAGCGAATGTACATGCAGCTGACTTTGTTCCCCCGGTTGGATCGAGTAAGGAACACCTCTGTCATGTCCAGCTCCCTCTGCGAGTACTGAAACTCTGCTCGCTCCATCAGCTGAAGCTTCCATCTTCCCTCCACATCCCCGGACCCTCCGCTTCCAGCAACCGATGCTCCACTCCGTGCCCGCAGGTTCGATGCCCCCGTTGTCCCCATTGAGGCAGGGCCCGCCTCTGGGTCGGGGAGGAACGTGTACGTGGGCTCGGGGGGCAAGAAGGCGAGCTTGGCCGCGATGCGGCTGGGGCAGGGCGGGCAGCAGAACAGGCAGCAGAGCTCACTGAGAGAAAGGCCATTCATCCTTCACTGTGCAGGAGGAGGAGGACAAGAGGATCAGTGTCCACATCATCCCAGTGTTTACACAATGAGACACTTATTACAATGAAATGTACAGGGCTTCCACAACACTAACTTTGTTACATCTCAATGTAGATTAGAACTAGGCGATATCAATATATATAAGCATAATGTCATTTAATCAATAGCAAAATAACAAAAATTCAATATACACATATATATATTGTTTATGCACAGTGAGGACCTATAACACATCATTTGTAAAATGTTATGTTGTTTATCAAATGTTTGTCTTTGCTCAAAAAGAAAAAACTTAAAAGAAATATGAATGTGACTTTTATTTTGATAATTATCGATATCTACTGATATGAAAACTTTAATCTCAAGATGTGTTTTGGCCATATCTTCCAGCCCTAATATAGATATAAAGTATGACACTGGTCAACGTTAAGAATCTTTATTATAACTGAAATAATGTATCAGCTAATAATATTCAACATGTTCTGGTTAGAGCTTCTTAGTTGATGAATTATTTCATTGTACGTCAATGTCTGTGGGATGTGTTATAACTAATTTTGTGCAATTTGATAACTTCAAATGAGTTTTTTGTTTGACCCCCTGAATATTTTGATGACTTGAGATAAACAGGTGATCACAGCTGAACCAACGAATGTTTTGTTTGAAAATATTGGAGGTTGCAGTTATTAAACTCTGCTTATCTCTTTTTGTAGATGAACTCAACCTGATGTATTCATGTGTGTTAGTTAAACTAAATGAGTTGTGTGCGGTTCTTCACTTCTGGCTCTGGCAAACCACAACCATTACAACTATTGACATTGCAATTACTGACATGTTGTATTTATTGGAATCCAGCGGCAGCAGACCTACCTGTTGAACTGAGGAGCTGAGTGTGAGTAAAACCGAGTTGAACGAGAACACAAAGGAGGAAGACTTCCTCCTCTTCGGCCAAACACAGGATCCTGTGGAAGTGTCCTGTCAGCAGCAGACACAGGGAAATGTTATTTACTCAGTCCCTGCTGTGCTTTCTGAGAGCTGCCTGAAGTCCACGTCACATCCATGTTTAGCACATTCGACGTCCTGGATGTTTGTGAGGAAACGCTGAGTTTCTCCGTCCGTGTTGTTGACCTCCAAAACAAACTGTGGTCGCCCTTCAGGTGCATTCAACCCCTCTCAGTGATTCTCCCTGGTCCGCAGCCGAGTGTGAGTTAACAATGTCGGTGACAGCACGACTCGCTTCACCGGACAGAGACGTCTGTATGTCTGCGTGTAGCAGCTAAACGCTACTCTGGCTTTAAGCTAACCTCCAGACGTAAACGGCTCAGCTCCGCCGAAACTTCGCTCACTGGCTCCAAAATTTAAAAAACAATAACGTCAATAACCCAACGTTCGTGTAGGTTCGTGAATCCGCTGCGGACGGTGCCGTCGTGTCCTCTGACTCCTCATTTAAACTAATCCATGTATGTCCGGTGTTTTCCGACTTCTCCGCTGTTTCACCGCACCCGGAAGCGACAGCTGACAGGATGTCACGTGACGCGCTCCCATTGGACAATGAGGGGAAACTTGTTATCGCTGAGTGACGTGTTGACCATCATGACATGTCTGAACTTCATTGTGCTGTCACCTGTGAAGAAAAGAAAAGGTCAAATGTCGCAGTGACCCTTGTTAATGACGTGATCATGAGGCGTCAGACCCACTTAGTACCTGTGACTAGAATTATTAAAGAGCCATCACATCATATTTATTTACTTCTTAATAATAATAATGAACATAATGCATCATCATTTGTGTGTAGGCAACTAATACAATTACACTTTACATCCCCTGACCTTTCAGGCCCCTGAGTGAGTATGAAGCATGAAGTGACTGTTTACAAGTCAAAGCATGAGGTTAAAATACTCCAAACAAATTACCATTGGACAATATGACAATATTTAGTTTTTTTTTTTACATTAGTTTTGTGTGTTGTGTGTTTCCCATGTTGGGGGACTGGTAGTTTCATTAACTTACAAATACCTGAGCTCAACCAATATTAAGAGAAGTAAAATTATTTTTTCTGTTCAAACCCAAATTAAATTTTAATGCAGTGAAAGGAAAAAACTAACTGATGCCAACAAGAAGCAAATATGCAACACAATAAACAAAGAATAATCTAACCAAGAGCCAATGCTGTAAAGAATGAATGCTATAAATAAGAAGGATAAAGAAATCATGGTATCAGATAATGGACTTTGGATGCTGGATCTTAGTGCCGCATTTGATCAAAAGATTCTGTTACAGAGACTAGAACAACATGTACGGCTTAAGGGAACAGCACTAGGTTGGTTTAAATCATATTTATCAGAGAGATTTCAATTTGTCAATGTTAGCAATGACTCTTCCATGCACACGCAAAGCCATGGAGTTCCACAAGGTTCTGTCCTTGGACCGAAACTCTTTACCTTCTATATGCTCTCTCTAGGCAACATCATCAGAAAGCACCACATACACTCCCATTGTTACGCGGACGACACCCAGCTGTACATATCTATGAAGCCTCATGAATCTAACAACTTAGTTTAACTTCAGGAATGTCTCAAGAACTTCAAGGCATGGAAAACGTCATTGTAATTGGCCCTAAACATCTCAGACAYACACTGTCTGACCAGATAGTCATCTTGGAAGGTGTTAGTTTGGTCCCCTGCTCCACTGTGAAGAAACTTGGAGTTATGTTTGACCAGGACATGTCATTTGACCCACAAATAAAACAAATCTCTAGGAAAGCTTTCTTTGTGTTTTTTCCCTCCCATAGTCTCTCTCTCTTTTTTGCAGGTATCTCTGACTCCAGAGCTCCAGGTTTCAGACAACAACAATTATTATTACTATTATTAATAACATCTTTACACACTTATTGGTTTCAATATAACTAGTTAGAGCTGAAACCTGATGGTGCACAACTGTTCCTGGTCTTTCTCTCCCCCCTATCTCTCTCTCTCTTCTCACCCCTCTTTTCCACCGACCTCTCCTCTCTTCCCCATTTTCTCCGTTCACCCCAACGAGTCAGGGCAGATAGCTGCCCACACTGAGCCTGGTTCTGCTAGAGGTTTATTCCAGTTAATGAGGGAGGTTTTTCTCTCTCTTCCATAGTCGCTAAAGTTCTGCTAATTGTGCAAACTGTTTCTCTATGACTTTTTCAGGTCTTGACCTTCTATGTAAAGTGCCTTGAGATAATGTGAATTATGATTTGGCGCTATACAAATAAAATTGAATTGAATAATAGTTGCATATTTCTTCTGGGAGGTCCTATTATGGTGCCTGATGCTCACTGTGACAGACTGGACTTTTCTTGCTATGACAAGTGTGAAGTGTGAGAGTGTCTATGAGATCAGTTAACTAATGGAAGCACGTGTGTGAAAAGAGTTTTGGCTTTAATTACTGTGCAATTGAAATTCATCATACGATTATGGATTATGATATGGAGGATACCATACCATACATAACAGGTAATAATAAAATAATAAAACTGTGCCACACACCCGTTTTTAATATATGCACTAATGAACACAACACTTTACTCAGTTGTTTACGTGACAGCAGTTTCCATTAAATCCCTTTTCCTTGGTGCTTGTTTTTTTCGAGCTTGAGGTGCACGCTGTGACTCTGACACCACATTCAAAAACTTCAGAGTATGAACTGAAGCATGACAAAACTTTTGTTTTGAGTAAAGACACATATATTTGGTAAAACTTTTCATAAATTTAATTCCGCAACTGTACACCAGTAAATACAGAAACTGAACTTTTAAAACAATCTACTAAAGATGATGGCTTTCAGCCTTTCAATATTTATCCATCCATCATCTGTCCCTCTTATCCTTTAAGGGCCACAGGGAGAGCTGGAGCCGATCCCAGCTGACATTGGGTGAGAGGCTGGGCAAAACCTGGACAGCAGCCAGCATATCACTGTGGCCAACATACAGAGACAAACAACTTTCACATTTACGATTGATTTATAATCTCAAATTAACCCAACTCCAATCTGCATGTTTTTGGATTGTGGGAGGAAGCCACAATAACTGAAGAAGTTCCATAAAGACACAAGGAAAACATGTGAACTCCACACAGAAAGACCCCGACCGAACTGGGATTCGAACACGGAGCAGTGTGTGTGTAAGACAACAGTTCTAACCATGGCGCTGAAATCGCATCTAATAAATACAAAAATGAATACAAAAGACAAGTGTATTTTAAAATAAACTTTGTGATTTTATTGTTTTAATACTTACTCTTACACATCATACAATCCTAAATCTTTAAAAGAAAAAAAAAAAGAAAAAGATATCTGGTGGTGTTTCTGGGGGACTGGAGTGCCAAAGGGACAGGAACTACAGCTTTTTTGAACATTGTAGATTTCATTTCATGTCCCTCAAGCTCACCTCGATAAGACAAAATGAAACATCTTTTGTCTTTACTTCTGCAGTTTGCAGACACATCACAATGTTCAGGTTTATCACTATGATCAATCATAACCCCTGCATGATGAAGACACTGATTATGAAAGGTTGTGCTAAAAGATGGGTTTGAAAAGAACAAAATCATATTAGAGCAACAGACAGAAAACATATGTTTGGATAATATCTAGATTACTTAGGTCTGGTTGCCCTAAATGCTGGTGCCAAGTCCTTCACCACAAACAGTTTTAGCTATCCAACTGTCCAAAATCACATGTATGAAAATTGAGCCTAATCAATATTAGGGCTGAGTAGTTTGATAGAGGATGTCACGGCTTATTGTGTAAATTATGGTGGTTTACATTCAAACTGCTCATGTCTTAAAAAAAAAAAGGGGGGGAGGGGGATGATGAACAGTCAACAGAAAACTGTAAACCATAAAATCCACATGATTTACAATCATCCCAAGTAAACGAGTTTTCCTCTGACAGCTCTTTCAATCTGAAAAACTGAGCATTCTGTATGCGTATATTTTGTATTGGTCGTCAACCAAGCAGGTACATTGCAGGGAACACAAATCTGCAGAGCTGCTCCGACTAGAAGTTACAACAACATAATTATCACATAAGAATCCGCACAACTCTTTTTGTGTTTTAGTTTTTCACAGCTTGGGGTTCACATGACCAACTTAGCCCAGGAAAACACCGTCCTAGTCCTGAATATTCAATCACAGTCATTTAGACATGTTAACCACCATCATTGCCAAGACTGAATCCTGGTTAAGGCCAATTTTCCAATCACAAGCACCCAGAGTAAAACTCAACTAGTCCACCATGATATTCTGTGTGTACAAGTGTCATTCATGTTCAACCTATTCTGCATTGGCTTTTTTAACAACACACAAAATCGTTGCAACTCCAGTTCAAGATCAAGCAACATTTACAAGGAAAGCTTTTGACGATAATGATGAAACCTCATTGCCCCTCCACATCTCACGAAACCTTTTAAATTTTCAGTAATATCAAGGTTAAAAAAAAAGCGGACTGGAATACTGTGTAATTCAGCGAGGTTAATAAAGCTTAAAGGGGTTTGTTAATACCTGGACTAGCATTGTAAAAAAAGAAGCCATGTGGTCTGTTGAGAGATACTCATGGTAGAGACGGTTACTGAAGGTTGTTTGAACATGATTTGGGCAGATGCAAATAAAAAGGGAAACAAGTTGAAAAATTAAAAATCTGTGCCATTCACAGCACATACTCTTTTGGGGATAATTATGAAAAGCACTTTTATACACATAGTACTGTTCTTCACCTTAGTCCCCCACCTTATTTACCTGGCAGAAATCTACAATAAGATTATACTATATGAATAGGAGCCATATGGTATTTACATTTGGAAGAAAACACTTTAGAGTCCTGTTAACTTTAACCTCAAGGTTGCTGCCATGCATTGTGCTACTGCTGTGTGGCTTTTTAAAACATTCCAGCTTCATTTCAGACTGTGCAGTCAGTTACCAAATGGTACCTCATACATTTGTCTGCACACATGCATGTGGGTTGGACCTTTCTAGAAGAAGCTAGCTAGAAGCGGTCTTCGTATTAAAGGACTCGTCTGAATCTGAGCACATTGTATAAGCACAGCAAGCAACTCTGAAGAATCGCGACAATCTTTACGTTAGCTGAGCGTGTGTGTCAGTGTGTCAAGTAACCGCTGCGACCCAGGTCAGTTTTCATTCAGCATGTGTCAGTGGTCTGCTGGTGGTTAGAGAAACATGGAGCTTCACTCAGAATCCGTTGAACAGAAAAGGGCATTCAAGGAGGACACATCGCCTGAATCCAACACGAAGGCCATTTCCTCAGCGAGGCTCCTGTATACATCAAATATAAACTGCGAATGACCCAGATGCTGAACAAAACTGAGTAGGTGTGGCACATTATCTTGTGATCTGCAGATGACACACTGTGTTGTGCTTTGTTTCTAAATCCAGAACAATGGACATTTTACTGCACAATCTTAATTGTAACGGCTTAACTGGACTCTAATCCATCATGTCAGAGCTTGTGTGTTTTTTCTTCAATGGTTATATAATTAAGATGAAATTACTTAAATATAATTGCAAAGGTTAAATGCACATCTCAATGATTT